GTCATAAACCACTCGCGCAATAAATATGATGCATACATGAAAAAAGAAAAAGAAATAGAGAGAGAGAGAGAGAGGGAAAAGAGGGAAAAAAAGAAAAAAAAAAAGAAAGCAAAAACATTTATACAAAACACAATAATCTGCCAACAACACAAATAATAATCTAAAAAAAAAAACTTAAATAAATGTAGAACTACTAAAGAAGAGGGGAGGGGATCATTATCAAGTCTCTTCCAAACCCATTACACACGAAATCCTCTCTCCCCTCTCTCCATTCGTCTCCAACTCCCTGTTTTTGTTGTTGTTGCTTTCTTAGCTCCGCTGCATGTTGAGCTGCCCCAACTCATTTCGCGCACGTGCAAGTGCCTGTGGAATGGCCCGCATGCTGCAGTCCTGCCGCCGTAACGCCTCGGCAAAAGTCTTCTCAAGCCGCTCCAACATGGCGGCTCGTGCAGCACGCAGCTCCTTCTGCCGCTGACGCTCCTCCGCCCGACGCCGCCTCAGTGTGGCCAACTCGACGCGCAGCCGCTCAATCGTCTGTTGGTTCGCCACATCGCGCTGATGGAGTTGCTTCAATTCGTAATGCAGCGAGGCGGCAACATCTCGTGACTCCCCCGGCATTGAACGACGAGTGGCAACACCACCCCGTCCCTCCATTTTGTCATCACGCTCTTCAAGCGTCAGCCTCAGTTGATGCTCCGCGCTCTCTAGTCGCCTCCAAACCGTCGTGAGTTCCTCCTGTAGCTGCCGCACCTGCTGCTGCCTGGCGTGATGGGCATGCATCTCCTGATTGAGACGCTCCTCCGACACGGCGAGAGCGTCCCGTTGCGCTTCCAACTGCTGTAGCGCATCGTCCAGGCGCTTCTGCTGCTGCATTTGTTGCTGTTGTTGTTGCCGCAGTGTTGGGGCACAACTCACCGCATTGCCCTCACCGCCCCCCGTCGGCAAAGTGGCATGCGCATTAAGAGGGTTGTCTCCGCCTGTTTGGGTCAAGCGGTCACTGTACTCTGAAGAAACGGATGCATTCATCCCCCGAAGCGTATTCAAGGCGGCCTGCGCCTCTAGCTGTTGAATCTTTTCGTGTGCCGCACGCAACTGCTCCTCCAACTCCCGTATGGTCGTGGCGGCCGCGCCACCATCCCCATCGCATGACTCATCCTGTGCTCCGTTTTCACGTGGAACACGGAGTCTATAGAGTGAGCACCGTTTTGTCTGTCCAAGTAACTGACTGTGTTCTACACGCAACGCCAATAGCTCCTGCTTTGCCGCCGTCATCTCATCACGCATGAGCTGAAACTCCGCCATGGATGGATTGCGATGGTACGCCTCCTTCAGCCTGTCCTCCAGGTCGTGCACACGTTGCAACAGATCGGCCCGTTCTTGCAGGAGAGCAGCGGTGCCGCATGGGGAAACGGAATCTAGAAAAGTCTTCGAATTTTTGCATGTAGAGCCCTCAACAAGGCGTGCACTGTGTACAGTGACGGGACGGCCCAAACGCGGACTTCGAATACGTGGACTTGCACGCAACTCCTCAAACCGCGCTCGAATGACCCGCGGGGTGTCGCTCCTGACAACACCCCCCGCCATGCCGGTGTTGCTTTCAACATTCCCCACACCACAGGACTCGAGCCGCAAGCGGGGCACGACGGAAGGCACGCCTGCAGCAGCAGTAGAAGTAGAAGCAGCAGCGGCAGCAGAGAAAGAAAAGGAAAAGGAGAAGGTGGAGGAACGAACGGCATCGGCCACATCCGCATTCCGTGACTCCTGCTGTCTCAATGACTGCTGCCTAACGGAGCCTTTTTCTGTCGCAGATAACGTGGAACTTCTGCCGGAAGCCAACGACTCCGTTTGTGGCCTCGTCGAGGCGTCCGTTAGCAAAAAAGTCATGTTGCTGCGCGTCTTCGGTGACGAGCATGGCGTCTCCACACTCGCGTCATGCACGTCCGCCTCGTGGGTGGCATCTCGCAGCAACGCATCAATCGCCGCCAGCTCCTCCCTCGCCAGCTGCACGTACTCCGCGTGCTCCTCCATCTCTCGCATGAGAGCGGCCGTCTCGGCGGCCGCAGCGGCGCTCTTCCGCTCACCGTCCTCTCCCAATTCCTTCTTTTCGCCGCCTGCTTTCGCAGCGGCCTTGCTCGCCCTCAGCATGGCGGCGATCCACTGGTGCAGCGGCCCCAACGTCGGATGCACACGCACAACACGATCATGCGACCATTTAAGTTTTAAATCGCACCGCTGCACCGTCGCAAGCTCCGCAGCCGTCACGGCTGATGGCTCGCGTTTCACAATCCGCCGCCGCAAATCCCTAATGCCACAGCAGTGCTCCCAGGACATGTATAACCGCTCGCCCAACAAACACACGGCGGTCTTGACGATCGCAGCAACGGCAGACGGCGGATGGCGCAAACTGTAAAGGTCCTTCCATAGACCCACAGGCATTGCCCACACTGCGGCACGTGCAGCCGTGAGTTCCTGCAATGCGCACTCCAATTGCTGCTGTCGATGAGAGACTTTTGCATCGGCGTTCTGGTCATGACTTTCGTCATTTTTTTGTCGAATCCACGCCTGTATCTCCGCGATGCGAGCGAGGGAAGTCTCCAAGTCACTCTGCAGCTGCTCACGTCTTCGACTCAACTCCTCCACGTCGTCAATAGACAGTGGAGCCTCTTGCTGGTTCTTTTTCTTCTTTTTCCTTTTCTTGTTGTTGTTGTTAATGTTTCTATTGTTATTTTTTTCCATATCTTTTGGGTCTTCCGCAGCTGAGGGCGCCTTTGCGACATCTCTGGCGTGGGGAACGTGCATCGCTGCACAATACGCCTCCCCCCCACCACCGCTACCACCCCACTAACAATACACTGCACCCTATTATTACGTTGTGTGACATGTGTGTCAGGGTTGCGATGGCAAGAAGCAAAAACAGGAAAAAAAAAAAAGAAAAATGAGTAGGCACCATGTAAAAGAAATGCAAGCAATGAGCGGCCAATTCAGAGGCCAACAGACCGCGTAGGCCAATGCTCGTAGAGTTGCACACTGTGCATGGCTGCAGAGCAGAGAGGGAAGAGAGAGGATAAAAAAAAAAGCACGTGCATGCAGAGGGCCAAGAAGAGGCAACTTCTCTTATTTCTCTCTTTGATGAATGATGATGGAAACAAAAAAAAATAAATAAATAAATAAAGAGAGGATTAAAACAGAAACCCCCTTTACTGGGGAATCACAATAGCTTCCCCAATTGTACACATATATATATATAGTTACAGGCACTTACGCAGGCACATGCATTTGTGTATTTTTTGTGTATCAATAAACAGGGAGGGAAAAAAACAATATCCGCAGCTCTGTGTCACGTACTCACCCACACGCACATACAAGAGAAACAAACAAAAAAAAAAAGGAAAAGGCACACGTGTGTTTGTGTGTGCGTGTGTTTGTGTGCGTGTGTGTGTGTGGTGCTGGCAAAAGAAAAAAAAAAAATTTGAAAACAACAACGATGATTATGACCACAACACACAAGAAAAAACAACAAAAAACACAATACGGAAAGAAAGGGGGGAAATGATGTTTTGTGGCTAATAAGCCGTCAATCCCTTCCCGAGCAGCACACGAACCTCATCGAGAACCATCTCCGTCGATTTCGCCTCAAGCGACTGTCGCCCCGCCTCGTCCATCAGCCGCCCCGAAATTTCATGCAGCTGTAACGAGCGACGTCCTCGTGGCGCTTTGGCCTCCGATTCCCAGCGATATTCCTTCGGGCGCGCCGCATGGAGCTCCTCCTTCTGTTCACGCAAGTGACCGCGAAGTTTCTCCAATTCGCGTTCAGTTTCTTGCAGTGCGGCCCGTGTGGACTCCTTCTCGCGGTCCGCCTCGCATTGACGATCCCACAGCACCTTCAGTTCACACTCCTTATCCGCCAACTTCTGTCGTGTCTCCTTGTGCGCATGCAACTCCTCGTTCAGCCGCTCGGCGATGCCCTCCGTGTCCCGGCGTTGCCGCTGCAGTTCCTCGTTTAGACGTTGAATGCGTCCCTGCATCTCGCCATCCCCGCCCCTCCCGTTACTTTTCTCTTGTGCTTTTAGGGGTTGCCCCTGTGGTTGCCTGCCATGTTCAAGCGCTTCCTCCAGTGCCGCCTCCAGTTCCTCAATTTGACGCTGCGCTGCGGCCAGCTGTGCCTCCGGCGTGCTCTCCTTTTCCATCCGCAGCGCCGAGGACGTGTAGTAATTTGGCGCGTTCGCGGTGCGAAAGTTGTCCAGCTCCTCCTTCGTGTGGCGTAACTCCTCCTGCACCGCCCAGAGGTCATCCTCCAGCAGCTGCACCTGCGCCGCCGTTGGGTTCTCGTGTAACGCCCGCTTGAGACGATTTTCAAGGTCCGCAATCTTCTCTGCAAATTCCTCCTCCACACCGTCACGAGAGAGAACGGCAGAATCGGCAGCGGGACCGAAAACGGGAAGTTGCAACGCATTGGGCCGAAGTCTCCGCGGCGTCGCGTGCGACGGGGTGCTTGTGGACGATGGCCACGGCGTGTGCAACGACAGTCCGCCCTCGGTGATTACCTGGTTGAGCTTCTCCAGCTCCCGCCGACGCTCCCCGAGCTCCTGCTGCGTCGCATGGCTGCTGCTCTCCAGCTCCTGGAGTCGTTTGAGCTTGCGGCCATGCTCCCCCCGAAGTTCCTCCAAAGCGTTCTGCAACGCGCGGCGTGCGGCATCTGCGCGCTGCTCATCCTTCCAGCCGGACTCGCGTTTCTTCAGCGCGTCCTCCAGCTCTTGCACCTGCCCGGCCGTCAAACGAACAATCGTGCTATCCGGCCTGTCGTAGTTGCAAAGAATGGCGGAGCGCAATGTCACTATGGTGTCCTCCGTGAGCGTCCAGACAACGTTTGTGCCACGAAGAGTGCCCCTGTCTTCCGCTCCGAAGCTTTTCTGGGCGTCGTTGTCACCATCCTCCTCCTTGTTCACCTGCATGGATCGGCCCTCCAGCACGGCATGTAGTCTCTCCTCCTCGTCGGCGTATTCTCTCAGCGTCTGTCGGAACGCATCGATCTGCTCTTCCATGCGGGCAATGGCAAATCGATCGTTCAAGTGCTGCATATCGTACTCCGCGAGTTCTTCGGTGGCGTTTGCGGCATCCATCTGTGCCACCACCCACTGCTGCAGGTACCCCAGAGCCTGACTGCCGTTCATGGCGTCCCCGTACGTAAACCGGGGGTTTGACAAGTACTTACTCTGGATTTTCTCCTTTGTTGCGGCACTCATCTTGGCAGGATCAAACAATTCCACAGTGCGCACAAATTCCGGGCTGCGGATGACACTCTGAATCTGCGCCCATGACACACACTTTTCCCCGATAACCGTCAACACCGCCTCCATGACGAGAACAACGATTTCTGGTGGGTTGCGGTAGCACCGTGTCTCGCGCCAATCTCTGGCCTCAACCTCATGGATGCGGGTACATGCCTCTACGAGCGCTCGCTCCGCGGCACTCGCCGCATTCTCTATCCGCCGCCGTGAGACCACATACGCCGCCTGCTTTGTCGCAATGGCCTTATGAATGGCCTCCATCTTCTCATTCACACGTGCACGCCGTTGAGGCAGTTGCTCGAGCCGAGCCATCACCCTCTCCCTCTCCTCCGTGGATACAAGACCACTCCCTGCTGATTGTGGATCGGGCAGAGACGCGGCATCATGGCGCCATAACAGCAGCTGCACATGACGAGGGGCAGGAGAGGCGGCAACAGTTGCAAGCCCCCACTGCCATTGGTGATTTTCGTCTATATACTCAAATGCCACAAGGTCGTTCACACAAACACGAACGTGGCGAGGATCGCTATGCAGAAACTCAAGCGTCGATGATGATGTTGCCTTGCAACTCGTTCTTGCAAAGGCAGTGACTGGAGTAAACGTGGGAAAAGCTTTGACAGAAGCCGTATCCCCAGCCGCCGACCGTGGGGATGAATAGAGCGTTCCCGACCTCTTTCCCCTCCTCATTCGTAAAACTTTCTTCCCGCTCCCCTCCTGCCTCGTATGGAATGCACGCCCAGTATGGATCCCCCCGCGGATGATGTCGATATTTCCACCTCTCCCTCTTCTTCGCTATATATATATATATATATTTTTCCCCCCTCAAATAAAAAAAAATAATAATGATAATAATACAGATACCCGGCACCGCAAGCAGAAAATGCTACAAAAAAAAATATATTTATATACCGACAACACTGATAATGAAGGAAGAGCGTCCCTACGCAGCCTTATGCCTCCACGCTGTTTGTGTTCCTTTCCTGTTGAGCGGCAAAGCCGTGTGAATTGTGTGGCTGCCTCCCTTCACTGCATGGGCATGCGTGTATCAAAGGGGGAGAAAGGGGGAAGGAGGTGTTGTTAAAAAAAGGAAAAAAGGAAAAAAGCCAAAGGTGAATGAAGGCAAATGGTGTGGAGGGGTCAAAATGAGTTACACCACATGCATTGAAAAGGGGAAAAAGAAAAAAGAAAAAAAAAAGGGGTGTGGGGGAAGGAATGGAGAAGGGAAAAAAGTATTGCCGCCACAAACACACCTTAAAGAAAATTACACAACAAAAACCAACTATGCAGACAAACGCACGTCGAATATTTCAGTTCGGTTATATTTATTTTAATTTATTTATTTATTTATTTATTTATTTGTTGTTGTTTACGGCCTGTTGAAATGCGTGAGAAGAATGCCGTTGTTGCTTTTATACCTCCATATTTACTTCCTTGCATGTACGCATGTGGGTTTATTTTGGGGCTGACGCACACGACCATCATCCCTCCCTCTCCTTCTCTCTCAGTCTCTCTCTGTTTCCCCCCCCGCCACAACCCCCCCGCCAGGCATTCATGCGGTGAGAAACACACGGAACGATCCAAAAAAACTTTTAAAATTAAAAGGAAGAAAAAAAAAAAAAAAGAAAAAAAAAACACTAAACGGGGAAAAAAAGAAAATAAATAAATAAATAAAACAAAAAAAAAAACAAAAAAGGAGAAAATAAAAATAAAAAATTCCCCCCACCCATATTTATTTGTCCCTGTTATTGAAGACAAACATGGGAAGAAAAAAAAAAAAAAAAAGACTGCTAGAAATAACATGTGACGGGGGAGAAGTAAAATAATAATGGCCGCTGCCACCGCACACTAAAGACGTGTCATGGATTGCACACAGACACAATAATAATAAAAAATGAGAATATTATCCCTTACCGTAAACAGATACATGCGAGCATAACAAACAACACCAAACACCCAACAGAAAAAAAAAAAAAAAACCCTCCAGAAAATATAAAAGTTGATTCATTGCCTTTTAATCCAAATAAAATCATTTCTTTTCTTTTCTTTTTTTTCATTATTATTATTATTATTTTATTGGCTTTATCGGGATCTCTCACTTATTTGCTTTTTTTTTCCTTTGTGTGTGTGTGTGTGTATATGTGGGAGGAGCGATCCTACTTCTTGTATTTACATGCATGAGCATACACGCCTCACCGTTGCCTCCCTCCTTCCCTAAATATTTCTCTTCTCAGCGTGTGGGTGCTTGCGTAGACGCCATGAATTCCTGCATGGCGGACTCACCAAGAGACCTCACCATCTGAGCAAACCGTGTGTCTGCAGAGCGCACAAGATCATACGGCGACCCCATCTCCACCACGCGGCCTTCCTCCATCATCAGAATCACGTCGTACGTGGCAAGCGTGTGCAGGCGGTGGGCAATTGTAATGACAGTGTGCCCCGCAAAGACATGGGTGACGACATGTTGAATCTGTTTGTCAAGCGTGGGGTCAACATTGGCGGTAGCCTCATCCATCAGAATAAAACTGCAACCCCGCCGCAGTAGGGTCCGTGCCATGCAAAGCAACTGCCGCTGGCCAACACTAAAGTTTGCGCCCCCCTCCTCCACAGGGCACTGCAGCGGATCCGTCTCCGCGGCAAGTCGGTCCTCCATGCCTACAAGCCGTATCGCCTCACGCACTTGCGCGTCGCTGCAGACGTTGAGTGGATCGAGGTTTTCACGCACCTTACCGTTAAACAGCAATGGGTCCTGTGGAATCATCGAAAAGAGTTGGCGCAGCGCACGCAGGCTGTAGGAACGAATAGGACGCCCCGAAAGAACAATCTGCCCATCCTCAATATCCACCACGCGGAGAAGCGTCAGAAGCAACGATGACTTGCCACTTCCCGTGCGGCCGATAACACCGACCTTCTGTCCGGCGGGTATTGTGAAGGTCAAGCCGCACAACACATGTGGTAAACCCGCGCGGTACCGCATCGTCACATCACGGAACTCCAAAGACCCCGCCGCCACATTTTCCCTCCTGCCATTATCATCGTTGTGGTTGTTGTTGTCAGCAGGAGAGTAGGACAACTCAGGTGAGGCATCGCTGGCATGGCTTTCTTCTAGCAGCGGTACGGAAACCGTTGCGGTACTCGTGTCATCGTCGTCGTGGGTAATACCTGCTGGGGTTATGGGATCCCCCTTCCGCTCCCTCCGCTTTTTATCATTTTTTTCCAGCGCCCGAATGGCCTCATCAATCTCCTCCATGAGGTCCTCATGCTCAATGTTCGACGTGTAGTGTTGCACACGTTCGACACAGTTCATGTCTGCCTCCACGGAGGCTGCCTGATTCACCACATATTTAAGCTGGGAGTTGATGCTTACTGCCATGGTGAGGCTCAACGCAAGTAAACCAA